ATTTAATGATTTCAAATAATTGAACTGTTAAAAATGATGAATAAAATTAAAGTTACGGTTACGAATTTTGATAAAATGTTAATCGTTAATAAATTAAATTTATAATTAAATTTTTATTTATTACATTTTTACGTAAATAACTTAATATTATTTTTTTATTTCTAATTTATATATATTTTTAATAAATTTTGTACACAAGTAACATAATATATATATATATATTATAATTTATAATTTATAAGTTTTTTTAAATAAATAAACGTACTTACACTAATATAGTTATGTGTTTATTATTAGGTATCAAGATATTGTAACATGTGCATAGTTACACTGGTGTAAGTATGTTTTAAGTGTTACACTTTTTTATTTTATTTACTTGCACCGGTGTAATTATGTGTTAAGTGTTATATTTTTTTGTAGTATGAATTATGAATTTTTTTTGACAAATAATTATAATAGGTTAACTTGTAACCGAACCATTAGTGGTAAATCGTTTCTTAATAATTAGATTATGATTAAAAAAATCTCATAACCATTATAACGGTTAATCGACCAAATTTTAAATTAAACGATGTGATTAACCGTCCTTGAACAACCTTAGTATCAAGCTACGTCATCATCGTTACCATTCTTAATTGTCTCATGGTGGTTTTCATTTCCATGTTACTACCTAACGGTTAAGATTAAAACTAATACCTAAACTTGATTAATTGGTTCAAATTATCACCTTAATTAAGTTAGCTCAAGTTGACCTCATGGTTAAAATTAATTAAAATAATCGGTTTATCATAAATATTAATCTGGTAAAAAATAAAATTTGAGCACTAGTTTAAACCAATAAATAAAAGAGAAAATAACCTCAGTGACCAAAAATCCCATATAATATACGATTTTAACCAATTTTTTCCGGATTTGCAAAAAAGACCAACAAAAGCGCAATGCGATCGCTAATTCGCAACGCGATCTCCATTATCGCAAATCAGTTTCCAGATTCGCAACGCGATTATGACTATCGCAAAGCGATTTTACAATTTCGCGTTGCGATTTTCCCAATTCGCAATGCGAATTTGGAAAATCGCAATGCGATACTGACTATCGCAACGCGATAATACAAAATCGCAACGCGATAATACAAAATCGCAACGCGATTCTGACTTTCGCAACGAGATTCTGAAAATCGCAATCATCTTCAAAATCCCAATCACAACCGGCTTCACCTTTTGGGACTGTTAACTTAGGTGATTTTTAAATGCAAACGTTGTATTATGTGTATTTTATGTGTGCACTTTTAACATTTTCAGTTAGGCATGTATTAGTAACTTGAGTTTGAACATTGCTATGATATGTTCAGTTGTTATCACTTATTAGACATTCATTTGACTATCGCAACGGGGAAATCGCAACGCGAAAATGGCTATCGCAACGAGAAAATCGCAATGCGAAATGAAAATCGCGTTGCGATTCTCTCGTTGCGATAGCCATTTTCGCGTTGCGATTCTCTCGTTGCGATAGTCAGTTTCGTGTTGCGATAGTCTGTTTTGCCTTCAACATAATGCAGATTGAAAATCAACAAATCAACTATTACATTTCAATCAATTAAACAAGCACAAATAAGAATTATGTACACATCAATTAAACAAATCAACATTTACAAATCATTTTTTACAAATCAATTAAACAATCAAAAAAAATAATTCTTATTTCCTCATCAATTATTGAATCAATGAATCAACTTTTGCACCCGTACATCCATTTCATGCAGCTCACTTAAGGATTAACCTGCAGAAACCAAACATTTGCTCAAACAAGACTTCCTACACATCTAAAACCTACAAACAACAAATTATTGAATTCTAGGTACTTAACCAAATATTTTCAAACCAAAAGGAGTATATATGTTAACAAAACTTGCATTTGACTTACCAATTAACAATGGATACTTTCATAACGCGGATTTCATTTCGCATTGCGATTTTGTCGTTGCGATTTTCATTTCGCATTGCGATTTTGTCGTTGCGATTTTCATTTCGCATTGCGATAGCCATTTCCGCATTACGATAGTCATTTTCGTGTTGCGAAAGTAAACTATTCTTCTTCTGCAAATTGAAACTTGAATGGATTGCATAACTTCAACCAAAAGACAAAAACAAAACCAAAAACAAATACTAACAGCAACCGAATGAATTTATTAAGCAATCTAAGTGAAATGGTTAATCTAAGTGAAATTACGAGTAAATTTATCATCAAGTTAAATATGAAAAATCTTAAACTTACCTCGTTGCGTAGAGTATGAACCTCATTATGCAACGATGCTACCATCTCACGTAGAGCGGCTACCTCACCGCGTAAAGTAGACACCTCAACACGCCATGCACCATCGTCTTTTCGTAAAGTACCGACCTCCTCACGCAAGGCATTGACCTCAACACGTAACTCCCCTAACTCATCCCGTGGAGGTGGAGAACAGTGAGATAAACGTCGTGGCAACTTTGCCGGTCGCCTATCTTGCGGTGATGGTGGAGAAGAGGCTCGATGATGTGACAGAATAGGTGATGGCTGTCGTTGTGGAGGTGTATAGTCGGGTCGATCAGGTGATGGCTCTGGGTGAGGTGATAGCTATGGGTGAGGTGATGGCTCCCGAAGTGGGGACTGCTCATCATCCGTGCCATCAAAAAAATGCTTACTAGTTTGCCACCAATCAGTGGCAAGCTCAGCTTCCGTGGGTGTCACCCTCTGTAATGGAGTGTTGGTCTCCTAACAATATAAAAGCTCAAACAAAGTTAAACGTGTACTAGTAATAACTTGTTTATAAACATATAGTAGTATTTATGTTAACTTACATTATTTATTGTCGTATACCGTAGTAAATCTTCCCATTGCAAGGTCCGTTTCCTCTATTAGGAAATAGCCCTGGAAATATCATTTGAAGTTTTTATTGCATATGTCTTCATGGCGGGAAAGGCCTCAAATATCCAAATCTACAAACAATATAATAACAAACATTAGTAATTGTTAAATAATTACTTATAATTTTGGAAACATTATATAAAAATTCTTACCTTAAAGGCCCAAATAAAGCATGTCAAAGTGTATTTGGAACCATCGCCATGCAAACTTTTTCGATCATCCAAGGCAGACGATAACTTATTCCATGTAGCTTTCCATAAATACGAGCCCCACGGAAACAGGTTCCACGCATTTAGGTCCTCTACCAATTTGATTAGATCATTCTTAATAGGTTGTCTGGCCTCTCTGCCTAAAAAGCCGGCATGCAAAAGTATTAGAAGGCATACTCGGACAACATCGACGTCATCCATCTGAGTAAAACCATCTTTCTTATTCAATAATCTCGTGAGGTCTTCCACGTGTAGATTCGGCCTCTCCAGCTCAGGAAAAACCCGGGATAACCATGATGGGCGGGTAATGTGTCTAGTGTACCGACCTACATCATCGTGTCCGAAGCGTAGACCAGTGATTAAGCAAAGCTCCTCCCGCCTAAAACACGTATACGCCGGTGGAAAATCAAACCATATCTCTTCATCACGACGTTGTATAGTATCTGGTAGATCGCTAGTCATGGTTTGAAGAAACAGGTGTGTCAACATCGCATCTCCACCGGGATGTTGTACTTTCAGCCATGGCCCGAAGCAAGTATCCTCAAACATTTTTCTTTGTGCAGGTGAAAGCTTCGATGCAATTGTTTTGGCCAGGTTGACTTTATTTCTTAAGGTCAATTGAGCCGAATAAAAGTTCTACAAAAACAATAAACATACTAAGTTAGATATACCAAAAACTACACTGTGAAGATATACCAAAAACAATAATAAACATAAAGAGTAGTAGTTTATTCTTCAAACTTAAATTTGCAACACTGTGAATTTCTTATTTGTCTTTGTTTTTTGGTTGAAGTAATGCAATTCATTCAAGTTTCAATTTGCAGAAGAAGAATAGTTTCTGAAAATGAAAATCGCAACGCGAATTTGACTATCGCAACGAGAGAATAAAATCGCGTTGCGATTTTGTCGTTGCGATTTTCATTTCGCGTTGCGATTCTCGGTTGATTTAATAAGCAATCTAAGTGAAATGGTTAATCTATTATTGAAATTACCAGTAAACTTATCATCAATTTCAATATGAAAAACCTAATAATAATGCAAAAATTTCAAAAAGAAAATAATTAAAAAAACTAACCCTCGGTGGTTGATTTGGTTGATTTTCCATTTCTGATTGTGAGGGTGGCTTTGAGAGATGGAGATAGACGGATTTTACCAGAGATGGGGACGAATTTCGTCGGAGATGGGTGAGAGAGTGAGAGATGGAGATGGGATTGAGTTGTGATTTTAGGCTTTAGGTTATGAGTTGCGATTACGGGATATACTGTGGACGGTTCAGTGTTCCAATATATTAATATTCGTGTTTGGAATTTGAAAATAAAATACGTTTTGCGATACTAATGACGCTTTGAAAATCGCATTGCGATTATGTATTATCTCGTTGCGAAAGTCAGTATCGCGTTGCGAAAGTAAGTATCGCGTTGCGAAAGTCAGTATCTCGTTGCGATTTTGTATTATCGCGTTGCGATAGTCAGTATCGCGTTGCGATTTTCCAAATTCGCATTGCGATTTTCCAAATTCGCATTGCGATTTACTTATTCGCATTGCGAATTGGAAAAATCGCAACGCGAAATTAGAAAATCGCATTGCGATAGTCATAATCGCGTTGCGAATCTGGAAACTGATTTGCGATAATGGAGATCGCGTTGCGAATTAGCGATCGTATTGCGATTTTGTTGGTCATTTTGGCAAATCCGAAAAAAGTTGATTAAAATCGTATATTATATGAGATTTTTGATCACTGAAGTTATTTTCTCTAAATAAAATTTAAATACCTAATTAAACCCGAACCAGAGATCGAGGATTAAAACGCGAACCGGATCGAAACCCGAAAAACTTTCCTAAAGTACATACGTGTAACAAAATTAGCACGTGCCAAATAAACCCAAAGAAACAAACGGCAAACCGCATCCAGCATCATCCGCAGCCTCCACCCCATTTCCCCCAAAATATTTCCTTATTTTGCACCGAAAATTAAATTCAAATAGAGAACATTTGCAAATCGCTGTTTTTGATCGTCGTCAAGAAAAGCCAGGGCGTGACCTGAGATCACCGAGAAACTAAACACAATCCCTTTGATTTCCGAAATATGTGGAGAAGGTTACTCACTTCACAGTTCAAATCTCTAGCAGCCCTTCCATGCCGATCCGCGTCTAAAACGGCGCTGGTTCCGTTCAAATATCACATTTCTCCTTTCCCTTCCGCTTCTCTCCTCGTTCGCCATTTCTCCGACGAGTCAGGTAACCCTAGCATCATTAGATCCTCTTCGGCGCTTCATTTTTAATATATATATATATATATATAATCATATATATTTCAATCGTTGCATCCTTTAGATGGTTGTTTAAATAGTTGTTTTTTCTGTATGAATATTTTAGATCATTAATTATTGTGCTTCGAAATTAGAAGAAAAGGTTGAGTTATATTTAGTTTATATTAGAAAACGTTTCTGTTTGAGTGTTTGTTGACTTGTCCAGTGTTGTTTTTTGCGGTTTGATTTCGATTGATTTTGTTTGTGTAGCGGATACTGCTGTGAAGAAGAGAGTTGAGGATGTAATGCCTATCGCTACTGGTCATGAGCGCGAGGAGCTTGAGGCCGAGATCCAGGTTATTTTTTCCTCTTCCGTTCTCTCTGTTTGGTTTTAAATTGCGAGAACCGTCTTCTGATGTTACTTTCTACAATTGATGATTCGAATTGTCTATGTTGTTATAGACACTATCTTGTTTTCTCGTTCTGATTTTCTGTTTTGTGTTATCTTGTTTAGGGAAAGAAAATCCTTGAAGATGTGAACAATCCTGTAGGTCCCTTTGGCACTAAGGTTAGTATGCAAATCAATGTTTCTTACAGTCTATTACAATTGAGGAACACTGGCTGATTTGATCATGTTTGTATCATTTTATATGGGATCAATGGCTGATGGTGTTGAAATACTGACAATTGTTCCCCCTCTTTGCTATCATTTACAACAATATTTTACTTGAATTTATTCCTTTATTTGGTTTTTGATGACTTCAATTACTTGAAATCTAAGCCCTCATATTTAAATGGGTATACTGTTTACCACTTTACCTGTTATTTTTGTTGTGTACTAGAACTATTTTTATTCTTGGATTGTTGATTAGATGCTTGTGTGAGTGAATATTTGCAAAAATGATGTTACCTGTTGCATTAGTTTGGTACTTTGGCAACATATCTTTCCAATGTTATTAACAAGTAGGAATTTCCAATGATTCATTCCAATTTTTATTACTTGTTTGCTATAATGTTATCATTTGGCATTTAGTTCATTTTTGGATTTGATGAATATATGCAACCTTTGGTTTAACTTGTATGATTCCTTTAACTAAGTTTTTCTCAAGTAAGGGGCTTTTTGGTCCTATTTTTGATGGGCCACTTGTCATGGGTAGAGTAGGCCCGAGGGGTGGGGGCTCTTGAACTGTGAACCTTGATTCTCCATGGAGTGTAACAATCCATGTGCCAAACCTTAATATTTTCTTTTCAGCAACATTAATAAGGCATGTTTTTAATTTTCTTTCTAGATTGTTATACCACTTCTTGGAATCTAGAATATTATAGATATCATACAAAGTGGAGGAGGAAAAATTGTTTACGCAATTTTCTATTTTCTGAATCTGTTGAATATTTTGCTGCAATTGTTTTCTACGTATTGATGTACTGCTGTGTTTTATCCATTTATGTCGAATCATGGCTACAAAATAATCTTATTTGTAAATTTATCATTTTAAGTTTAAGCCTTTATTTATAATTATGCTAGAAACAACTTTACCTTATTTAAATCATAAGAGTGATGTCATGACTTGACTTTTGATGGTAGAAGTTATTTTATCTGCCTGTAGGAAGCTCCTGCTGTTGCCAAGTCCTACTATGACAAGAGAATAGTTGGATGCCCAGGAGGTGAAGGCGGTATGTTCCCTTCATTAATTCTCTGTTTCCACTCTTCTAGGTTCTTGTATGCTTCTCTCAGATTTGTACAGAATCGATTCATTCTACTTGAACTGATGCTTGTGTTCATTCAATTTGCTTTACTTAAAAAATGCAGAGGATGAACATGATGTGGTCTGGTTTTGGCTGGAGAAAGGCAAGCCACATGAGTGCCCAGTTTGCTCGCAGTATTTTGTGGTGAGTGGATATCATGAACTAGGGAACATTCAATGCCCTTGCATTCATTGGATCTATATCCCATTTCGGCATATCTGTTAGCTCGTAGATGGATTTAGCCAAAACTCTTAAGATTTGAATTAATTACCAATGATCTGGAGCATTGTGGAACGCTAAAATAGTACTAGTCTTTTCTAAGGAAGCCTTCATTTGTTATAGTTTAGAGTATGGTTGATCAATCAGGTTGTCCAACAATGGGCTTATTTGTATAAATGTCATGTCCAGGGACAGAACTAGTAGGAGCAAACACTGGGAGGGGCCAATTTGTTTAACTTCTAAAAAAAGGGACCTATTAAGTATTTAAACCTAAAATTTAGGTAGGGCCAAGGACTAATTAACTTATATTAAACTTGCAAGAACCTAAAGTTAGGGGTGGCCAGGGCCCCTCCCAAAGGCCATTTGGCTCCATCACTGGCTATGTCACCTGGTTTTGTTTACTTCATCTGTAACTCTGCAAATGTTATCGGTGCAACTAATGACCATAGATTGATTGAGTTGCAAATGTTTAAGCTATTTTTCTAGATTATTCTTGAATGACATAATCAAAACTACAGTTACATTGGTATACATATAGACTTTTACTACCCGAAGACCAAATTATGATTCTAAGTGAACACAAATAGTTTTAAGGTTGTTGCCATAATGCTATGACTAAAGTGAGACCTCTGGGCTTTAAGGTTGACATCTGATTCCCTGTGTCTGTTACCCTGTCTACTGCCCTGTAATGCAATTAGCTAATCCCATCGTCTTTTTAACCGGAAGAGTAGCATCCATCACTGTAGTATTTCTCTAATAATTTCTGTTTTTGTCTTGCAGCTTGAAGTTGTGGGACCTGGAGGACCTCCAGACGGACATGGTGACGATGATAATCATTAATTCCAGCTTTGAATTTTTCCTGTTGGAATAAAATTGCAGAAGATTGTGGAATTATGTTCCAATATACAATGCACCCTTCAAGTGTTCAGAAATCATTTTTGTGTTTCGTATGGTTTTGAGATGGTATTCTCTGTTTTTCATGGCACTTATTAGACTGTTGCACAGGTACGAAATATCTAGATCAACTTGGAATGCATCGCAAAATAAATAGATCTACGACTCCATTCTTTCAGGAACTTCCTGGTGTCAAGTTTTGAAGTCTTATTGTCATGTTATTGTTTAAGTCATTTGGATTTGGTTTTTCATTTTAAATAAATTCGTTCAGACTTGCTTCGGTTTGTGTTCCTTTTTTTTAAATAATTATTTTTAATTATTTTTAATAAACTTTATAATGCGCCCCATGATTTTTTTTGCCTAACGATAGCTTTCTGCATATTTGCTAATAATTTTATACTTATATTATTTATTTGGGGTCTAACAACTTTCAGTATTGGATACTTTTAATGTCATATTTGCATATAACTTGGGTAAGTTGTGTTCTTTTATGAGCATAGGTAAGCTGTTAAGGCAGCCTAGGCGTAAAGCGAAAGCCTACTTCAGTGAGTTGCACTTTTAAGAAATTTTGGAGCATATTTTATATTTAAAACAACATTACTATATTATAATTACTTAATAAAAATATTTGTACAAACTAGTATATTCCAAATAAAAGGAAGAGGAAATAAATAACATGGCTTTTAAATGCTTGAAACTTCTAATATTTTGTGACAGACAATAAACATTTAAATACTAATAGTCTAATACTTCATTACTTATCTCTTTCATAATCTTCATCTGTTTCAGTATTTTTTTAATCTCAGTTTTACTAGAGGAGTTGATAACTACGCCGTTTCTTGTATCAAATATGAAAGAAAGTTTGAAGCTTTCTTTCATGATTCTTAATGCTTTAGTTAAATATGTAGAATCATGGACTTTGACAGCTCTACCAACCTAATGTCCTAATCTCATGTCAAGTCATCATTATTGTTAAATACAAATTCATTTTCATTATCTTCTATTTTCTATTTTCTAAATAATATGTGTTTCTTTCATCAATATTCTTCAAAAAAGAATATAATTGATGTTGTTTTTTTACTTGATATTAACGTCTCAAAATACGATTGTATTTTACAAAGATCAAATCATTCAATTGATTCGGTCTTAATCTGAAAAGCATATATAAAGAAAAATTCTTACAAGTTGAAAAATATCCTAATCCCTCTTACACTCGATTGTACTACGAATGAGATTAAGAATCTTTATAATATACTTTTGGAGATAAGGAGTTGAAGATTTAAATATAAATGATCACTCCACTGCTAAGTTAAAAAGTAAATAAAATATTATAAATTTTAAATCAATAGTTTTAAAAACAATAAAAATATAAAATAATATTAAAACTTGTATTATAACTTTGTCCATCGGATAAAAGGAAACTTTTTATTTATTTAAAATTTTAGGTGAATATAATGTAGTATCTGTTCAAAGACACTTAATCATATAATAATAAACGTTTATATCCGTGACATATGCGGTGCTTCAACTTAAAATCGGAATAACAATAATCTGTAACCATCCTTGTATCCATTGATATAAACATAGCATATTTACCTATTTATCATTTTAGTGTGTAAAGAATATGAAAACAATGGAGTGGTTCGCATTGTTCCACTCCTACCAATAATTATTGGCCCTTCCAAAACTGAGACACCGATTTAAAAAGAAACAAAACAAAAACCAAGCCGGAAAGGACAAATGTCAAATGAAACATCAATACAACTGTGGTATATGTATGTATGTTATTGGAACCCAAAAATAACAGACTTTATTCCATTACGTTCTTACCAATAATATAGAGCTTCTACTTCTGTATTCCATTATCAACACCAAGTACACGGTGAGACATGCATGCAGTAGTACTTACAATGTTTTTTTTTTCTTTCTGTTTTTGGGTTTATTTGTACACCAAATTAAGGAAAAGCATTTTAGGTAATATCTGGGATCAGATTTGAAATCCAGCAAAACTGTGAGGAAAGAGATAGGAACATATTTTAAGTCATTTTCCACTTCCATTAACGAAGAATATGCAACAAGCTCAATGAAAGTGCCAGAATAGATGTCAGAAAATCTCCATATCCATACTCTCTTTTTTAGGGGTTCTTCCATATGACAATCGGTTGCATGCATGACTTCAATTTTAATATATTTATATTAAATATATACTCATATTTGGTTGCATTTAGTTTTAATTATATGTTCATTGTAATATTGGATATTATTTATTTATTTTAATAAAATTAACTGCTTCTATCTGCATAAAAAAACTACTAAGGCCTTGCAAAGAAAACCCTAGTGAACGTGCCAAAGTATTTTAAAGAAAACCCTCCATATAACCTTTATATCTGTCAATATCTCTCTTCATATTCTTATCTTTTTAAGGGTTGTTCCACATGTCAATTTGGCTGCATGCATGGTGCCAACTTTGATGACAAACAAACAAATAAGATGTCTTTTATAAGTTTCTAGGAGCCTTGGAAATTGGAATCCACAACAAAAGCTACATACAGCAGCAGCCTCTCGAATCTTCAAACGCTATTGAGTTTATAGTTTGTAATTACATTTTTGAAGATGATGAAAGTATATCATTATCATTTACTATATGCAAACTATAATTATTGTCTTCTTTGTGTGTGTGTGTGTATATATATATATAATATATGTGTATTTTGATGTTTTGTTAATTTCCATGAGCAAGGATCTTGAAGGGATATTAGATTAGTTGATAATTGATAACATAAAGAGTTCTTTCATAGAAAAATTGGACTGCCTAGCTTGCTCGTCTCTTCAATCACTAATATTTAACCCACAGTCACTAATTAAAGTATTTCCAATTGCAAAATGATGTACACTGCAAAGACAAAAGGAAACCCTATACCTTCTATATGTTTCCTATCTGTCGTGTTCATGCATGAGATTAGAGAACCAGCTTCAACTATTCTCTCTTCTTGAAGTAATTTATATTACATTTTTAAATTCAAAGAGTCACAATCTCATGTAAAATTAAGCTACACTGATGGTAGTCCCAATAGCATATGTTGTTTTCCAGTTATAATAAGCCAAGAATCTATTAAGTAAGTAGATATATGTGTATATATATATATGAAAAACAAGGACTGCAGATAAAAAATTCATCACAAATATGATTTTTCATTGGTTGTTGCATTAAAGGTATTTTTATATGTTCAAATCAATAAATGGTGGTCTGCAAATCAATTGTAGCAGTATATTTTCTTTCTTTTTATAAATGTATACAAAACCCCACCAAAAAAGAAAAATTTGAATTTTATTTGCATGTATATATGTGTATCATACTTCTGGAAAAATATGATCTTGAGAAGTTGAAGTTTACAGAAGAAAGGGATAATAAAATGAAACACAACTAGTGTCATTCTGTATATTTCCATTACACCAGAAATTTTTAAGGATGCATGAAAGTTCAAAACTTGTAAGCTTTCTGCTTAATGGTTATCAATCAGATCACCAAAAGAATTGATAAACAAATGATTGAGAAAAGATGACATCTTTTTCAAATTTGGGTTATTCTTTTCTTGTTTTCAGTAATATTCTGTTGAGTTGTTGCTGGAGGGTTTGCTTTATTTTTTGACCACTGCCCACAAGCATAGATTCTCCTCTATGTTGCAAGCTCTGTTAAGGGATGGATGATGGTGCTCTGCCCTGCTTGGATTCTCTCTGTGCTATTATAAAGATTTATTTCTTTTGTCAGGGATAGATTGACCCTCGAAAATTTTAAATTTTCAAAATTTTTATAAATCCGCCCCTTAAAATAAAATTATGCGTCGGTCCTGCTTTTGTCATTGTGTTTGCCCCTTCTTTTTCAAAGACGCCCCTGTGTTTTATTCCATTTCCACACTGCCCATTTGGTTATAAATAGACATTCCCCTTCTGGGTTTCCTGCATTATATCACCTCTTCTCAGATTTTGCCTCAAGGTGGACTGTTTTAATTCAGTTTCTCAAGTGAACAAAAAATGAGCTATTCACATAATACCATGGGCTCAGGTTTATTCCTTTCTTTATTAGTTTACATTTCTTCACATTTCAATTTGTTGCACTTTATTACTTGCTGTAAGATATTGTAGAGATTGCTGATGATTGTTGAGCTTCATTGACGCTCATTTTTTAGGTAGTAGAACTGCTAGAAGAAAATTCGAATTCGGAAGGATACATGTGGTACGACCGAAAGGGAAGCACCATTCTACCATAATATGGCTTCATGGCCTCGGCGACAATGGCTCAACGTATTGCTCGCTCTTTTCCCTTTTTTTGAATTCGTAAACTCTTGCACCAATCACTTTATCACTAACAAAACAAGCTGTTCAAGTAACATCATAATTTCAAGTTAAGCTTTTGTGATATTGCTGGTGATATATGCTCATCTTCAAGTTTCTCATATGCTGTTGATCACTGTTTCACTGAATTTCGTTCATCGAATGAAGACCACCAATGATAACTCAAGAATTTTAACTGTTCTCTGATTTATTCATATCCTCATTGTATTATTCTTCCTTTTCTGTCTCATTTGATGTTAAGTTTAATTTGGGAAGCCTCAGATGTTAAAAAGAGTATATTCCATGTCCATAGGCAAAGGACCACAAACTAAACTTTCTTCTCCTGCCAAATTAATAAGACACTAATTTTGATAAAGGATATTCATTCTTAAGTTATTATTATAGGTGTGGTCCTAGAATTCTTTATTTTAATCCCAAAGCAGTAAAGCATAAGCTTTGGATTCAAAGTTAAACTAGTTTTACTGTTTACCTTTTCACCTTGCATGGACAAGTGTGGCGAACCTGCAGTTTTTAGCTTTGAGAATCTTGGCTGAACTCATTTGATTCCTCTAATCACTTCATCTTTTAGACAAAGTTGCTTCCCCCCAACTTTTAAGAATAAAAATTAGTACAACCTCAAATGAAATTACAGAAAGCTGCAATTCTCCAGTTAATTGAAAAGAAGCATTTCTAATCCTCATATTATTCCTGTTTTGTTGCAGCTGGTCTGAGCTCTTGGAAAGTCTTCCTCTCCCAAATGTAAGGTTGCTTATATTGGTTCCATATACAAACTGCTTTGTCCTCCTATACTTCAAATGATTCTCATATGTGAGTATGTGTGTGTATTGATTTTATGTGTCAGATAAAATGGTTTGCCCAACTGCTCCTACTCGTCCTGTGGCTCTACTTGGGGGATTTCCTTACTCTGCATGTAAGAAAATATTTTGGTTCTATCATCTGGTTTATTGCATGAACTGTATTATATATATATACATATATATTGAAATTGATGGAACCAACCTTTTGCATCAGGGTTTGATGTTGGTGAGCTGTCGGCAGATGGTCCGGATGATTGGGAGGGTTTAGATGCCTCGGCAGCTTGTGTTGCAAACTTGTTGTCAACAGAGCCATCTGATGGTATTTTGAGGAGCTTTATCATCTACAAATGAATAACCCTGAATTAATAGTCTTGTATTCATGAATTTAAATGAGAAAACCTTACTATCTTATCGGTTGCCTTTTGACTGTTAAGGTCGGAATCAGAGGCTTTAACATGGGTGCTGCAATGGCCTTTTACTCCGCAACTGCTTTTGCTCTGGGAAGGTATGGAAATGGTAGCCCATACAATATATTGTATGAAAAAAAATATTGTACCTTTAATAAAGCCTTAAGTTTTGTGAAAAAAATATATTGTACTTGCTCATCAAAGGTGTTACCTTGCAGGTGCGTAAGGAACAAAATCGAAGTATCACATGAAGCTGCAAGGCACACCGCGTCATTGCCGATTATGCTTTGCCATGGAACTTGTATGTATCTTAGTCTGTTTTAAGCAAATGCTGCAACTTATCCGCGGAATATAACTTAACTTTAGCATTGATCCATGGTCTATGAATCTTTTCCGTGTTGATATTCAAAATCTGCTTCAAAAGATGTTTCATTATCAATATTCGAAAGGTCGATAATCAAAGGTTTCCAGGAAAATACTATGAAATTTCCAATTTCTTGATTCGTCCACCAGACCGATCTTCTTATACTCTTATTGCAGGTGATGATGTTGTCCCCTACAAATATGGAGAAATTTCTGCCCATTCCTTGAGTGTAGCCGGATTCTGGAACCTCAGTTTTAAAAATTATGAAGGGTAACTATTTAGGCTCTTATAACAGCAGCAATAAGCTCATTGCTTATTCTCAAAACCGGAAAACATGTAAACACTTCATCTGGTTGTGCAGGATTGGTCATCACACAGTCCCTAAAGAGATGAATGAGGTCTGCAATTGGCTTACAGCAAGGCTGGGGCTCGAGGGATCTCGCTAAATATAGCAAAGACTTGGTTTTTATGTTGAACTAGCTAAGGAAGAATACTGCATATGTACAAGTAGGTAGTAAAGAAAATGGTTTGTTAGGGTATATGGCATACTTGAGTAGCCCTTTTATATCTCTTTTAGGCCCTTTTACCTATCGTTGAAATAAAGTTTATGAATTGTTTTTTTGTTACGGATTTAGGACGTAGATCGTAGTAGCCTATCCTGTTGTACTTTCAGAGCATTTTGGTATTAGTTAATGTGATATACTGATATTTGAAACTATTGGAATTTGGTTTTCATTCTAGCCTATCAGCATCCTGCATTAATGGAAGCTCTGTCTAGTAGTTATAATATCTGGTTATGGTGTTGTCAACGTCGACTCATTGATTACAGTGAAGGATGCTTCATGTTTTTAGGACCAATGTGACAATAGGAACTGAGTTGCAAGACAGAACATAAGAAGAGAACCGGCCTGATCTACGCATCGAAAATAAATGTCTCTGATGCGCTCTTCTGATCAAGTTGGTGGAGACTTCTATTACTTCCACCGGTTATAACTTTACAACATTTGTTTATAATCAAACAAAACCTACACTGATCCATCGTAGGGAATTGCTTCATCAGTCCAATAGATGTTATGGCAATTGCTTCATCGATCCTTATTGATGTACCTTTTGCTAGACACATAACCGTCGTTTACTCTGGTGTAACATGAACCCTAACTGCATTAATGAACAACTGAACGTGCCGTGTCCGGATTCTGTTCAGTCCAGGGTGGCTAGCTATCATGCATGCAAATATACGCTTGTTGCAGGAGATGGGCTAGTTTAGATGCAAATGTAGGAGCATCATATGACCAATTCGATTCGCCAAAGCTTGAAAAAAAAAACCCTACAACAATCTAGAGATTCATCAGTGATTTATTCAGGCTTCGGACTACCTGAGATATCCTTGAGCTTTTCTTTCAGTTGCTGCAAAAAGAAGAAAGTGATGAAAGTAAATAAGCACGTTATATGGGTATTATTACCTATGGACTACTAGTATAACGAGAGATCTGTGGATTTTATAACAATTGATGCACAGTGATTCATTATATTTTTCTATGCTTAAATATTATTTAATTTGCAAGTTGTATTTCTGCATATAAAAGTACTGACATTTGGTTTGAGATTCAATGTGAAGAAAGAAAAATATATGATAAAAAGCATAGTCTATGGTCAAATTTCGCCACCTTGGATAAAACGTGCTAGATGACATTGCTTGGCCTGCAACTATAAATAGACCTCTTCTTTCACTATCTCTTTGTTCTCTACAATGGCTGTCTCAAGTAACTTCCTTTTTTTTTCAGCTTCTCTTTGTTCTTCATGGTCTCTCCTTCGATCCAAGCTTCCTTTAGGCCTAAAGCATTAGTTCTTCCTCTCACAAAAGATGCTTCGACTAACCAATATGTCACTCAGATCAAGCAAAGAACCCCATTGGTGCCTGTGAAGTTGACCCTTGATCTTGGTGCAGGATCGCTCTGGGTCGTTTGTGACCAAGGCTATGTCTCATCTACCTATAAGTCTATCCATTGTAACTCGGCTCGATGCGACTGGTCAGGGTCCAAGACTTGTGGAAGTTGCTTCAGTGGCCCCAAGCCAGGCTGCCCGTCACTCCAATGAAGTAGTCTGAAGAAGCTTCATCTACAAAGGAAGACGGTGCGGTGTGTTGAAATTATTAAAATGGTTTTCAAGTTTGGTAACCAACTTTGAAAAAATGGTTTTCAAAGTTTGGTAAATGTTTCTTTGAAAATGGTTTTCAAAGTTTGGTAAATATTTCTTTGAAAAATAGTTTTTCAAAGTTTGGTAGATGTTTGTTGAAAAATGATAATGGGATAATCACAATTAATCCCTAGGCTTTAGGGTATTTACAAGATTAAGTCCTTAAGTTTCAACTATAAATACCCTAGCTCATTTAGCTTCAAAACCATCCCAAAAATCATTCATTTCTCCCAATACTAGAGAGCTTTCTTGTGAGTAGTGAGTGTTTTGTAAACACCTGTAAATTTTCTCTCTTAGTAAAAGATCTGCAGCAGTCCGGAGACGTAAGCACAATTGGCTGAACTCCGTTATCAATTTCGGGTATTATTTTTCCGCTTTTATTTCGTATTCTCACAAATCTGACTATAGGGAAATTACTTGTACTTGATTATTTTCCTAACACGGTGCTGACCGGGATTCAGAATGAGCGAAGTGTAGATGAGTGATTTCGAGACGTTGATGTTCCTACCGAGGAAAGTATAAGGCCCGTCATCAATGAAGATGACACCGTTGGGTGCACCCAAACAAATGGAAAACTTTCTAGGAAACCTGAAAACGGTAGAGAATTGGGAAGGCAGTGAAATATTTGTTCTGTCAAGACCGGTCACGCCTGTAACTCCAATAGCAAAACCCTGTAACAGAGCAGTGGAACCGCAAGCGAAAACAAACTTGGACTCCGAAACTACTTTCCCGAAACTCTTTCCATCAGTAGACAGGACCGCTACAACATCTCGGGCAACCTCGCCCAAGTTGGCAAAGCCTATAACGTTGTTGGGTGGGAAAACATTACAAGCATTTTTATGGCAGCCTGAAGGAACCAAGATCAGCAATGTTGCTCCCTACACCGTACTGCAAACATCTATCTACAAAGCAGTAGTTAGAGCTTTTATCAAGGAGATTCCAGGTATTCCGAGAGTTCCAGCAGTGGCTCCTTTCGGTGCATGTTTCAATTCTAAAGGCATCGGGTTCAGCCGAGTTGGTCCAGGAATGCCGATCATAGATCTTAATCTACCCAGCAATGTCATCTAGCACGTTTTATCCAAGATGGCAAAATTTGACCATTGACTCTGTTTTTCTCGTATACTTTCTTTTTTCACATTGGAACTCAAACCAGAGTTGTCAGTACTTTATATCCAGAAATACAAGCTACAAATCAAATATATTTGAGCACAGAAAAAAAGATAATGAATAATTGAGCATCAATTGTTATTAATCCACATATTAGGTATAATTATTCATTAGTAATATGCAGAATTGATTTGAGACAGATTAGGTATTTCTTAGCCAAAAAAAGCAAACAATCTTCACTTTGACGAGTGGCTTCTAGGTATGTTCAATTCCCACATAATTGACGATCATATTCTTATTGCAGTAACAATTTGGGCCGTATGGAGTGATACTAACAAACTAATTCATCAGAATCATTATCAATAAGCGGAGGACATTACCATATTTTAGGAGCTGTGTATATGGGAAATACAAACTTTTATGGCAGAAGTCACGGCGGTGCTCTAAAGAATACAATTCACCTTGGACCTTGGTCTCTATTCAAACTTTTATTCGCACCCCGAGATTCACAACTCGATAACTAGCCTGGTTTATCCTTTGTACTTTGGGTGAAATTCCGGAATTACTGCATCGGAACATACACCTTGCTAATTTACTCCTCGCGAATACTTGGGACATCTGTATCCAGTTAGCAACTTAATCACCTTAACACCAACTTAGAGACATTCGACTATTACAGGCTAGGTGACCGGGATATTCTTAACGCCCTCGCGGAGATCTTTATATCCAACTCTGAACTTGCTCAACTATAAACTTGGGATTGTTAAATTTATGTGAGTCTGTCACACAAACCCTTTACTGAAGAAACTAAGGTGATACTAAAGTCTTGCACCTAACAAAACCACACGCAAGGATGTTCCCTAAGAGAACAATTAGGGATGGAAGATTTTGCTGCTACACAATTCTTAGGGTTTACTTCTAACTTGTCAAGGAACGACCACTCGAACCCATACGGTCCTCAAATGTCTTTGAGCTTACAACTCTGGAACCCGAGTATCACCAATACTAGCAACTTCCTTTTAATCGACTACCGAACCTAACTCAAATCTTCAAAGAATATCTAAGGTTTACCTCTTATAGTATTCATACTAGCCATTTGAATCCTTACTGAATCTCTACTCTAATACGCTTCCTGCTAACTCCATTAACACCCTGAGAGAATGCATGCACTTACATCTACTGAAGTAACATGAAAATTGAGGTAACTGGGAACATACATTGCATCTCATTTGAACTAGGACAATCTCTCGCCAAATGCTCAAAAAATCTGCATCTGTAGAACTTCCTAGAAAGCCTAAAACACATTCTTCAATGCTTCTTTCCACAATACTAGTACTCTGAAGGTTCCCTGATTCTATTTGAGCTCCCAACACCTGGTATGGATTGCAAGACTGATGACCTCCTATGAGACCTCACATCTAAGCTCTGACTCGGTTGGAGCGACAAAGAGGACGTCACTCTCCTCTACTCATGCGAATCCCTGACTCTCTTGGCCACCGACTAAGGCAGATCCTCTGATGCACAAGTCTTCATTCTTGGATCGTCTGATTCAAGCAACAAACTCTTCTTCAAGTTCTGTACCCTTTCCACGACCTTAGCTTGTCGTGTTAGTTCTGAAAACATTGTAGGCGAATTTGCTACCAACTACGTAAAGATGTCGAGATGAAGCTCCTCTAGAGATCTCTTGCATTTCAGGGATTTCGTTATCACCAACTCTGGAGCATAACACTCAACCGGAGAAAATTTCTCTCGTACTCGAGCACTGAACGATATCCCTGAACTAGCTGAGAGAATTGCATCCTCAAACTATCTATGTGATCCTCACCAATATACTTGCTTCTAAACTCACTCAAGAACTGATCCCATGTGGGCACCTATGGCTGTAAAGCCATCTCCACAGTCTCCCACCAATCCATAACAACACCTTTGAGCAAAGCGATGACACATTCTAATTTACCCTCTGGAGTAAGATGAAGTTGCCTCAACGTCCTCATGGTCTCTCACAACCACTAATCGACCATAATCGGATCATCATCACTTGAACCATAGAACTCAGATGACTTATACCTCCCCAGTCTCTTTACTGTGGTCTTTGTTAACGCTAACATACTCTGACTGAGTGGCTGAGTAGTCTGCGCTCTGGGGATAGCATATACTATCTTTTTGAGAGTGAAGATCAAACCTCTAAAGAAGGTCACCTCTACGACTCCTGTGCCTAATGGGACCCCATGATCTTCTACCTTAGGACAAAACTCCTTGCTGGTGCTATCTGGATGAGAGGCTCGACTCTCCATCCTCTCCCCGCGGCTATGCTCAAAACTGTCAGCCATTGCAACACTCTACATCAGGAAATCCAAACTTATACAAGTACCTTAAGTTCCTAGGGGCATGTACTCACTGACACCTTACTTAAACTGATCACTAGGTCCTATGACTAACTCAACTTGATACACTGATACCACTAAATGTAACATCCTAGACCCGATTGGGCCTAAAGTGCCACATTGGGCTACCGGCTACCGAGACAACCCTTGCTTAAAACGTCTGTTTATATTCTTTTGAAAATATACTCAGTGGTATCATAATTAAAATCATATATATAAAAACAATTCATAAAACATTTTACAAAAATCGGAGTTCCGTGACACATAATTTAAAAACAAGATAAAAATAATACAAGGTCTTTCTTATAAATCTGAATGCATAAGTAATGTCCCGTGAATATACATACCCTCTAAAACTACTATACAATACTTTGAAAAGGGAATGCTGGAAGTGCTGCCACGATGGTGCTCCATGAGCTGCTTAGCTACAAATTTACCCACGGAAACATCCGAAGGCTGAACTAACAACGCTCAGTAGTATGATTGCTAATCTATATCAGCATAAGAATTCATAAATGCAAGCATACTAAAGACTGAGTTCTAAGTAGATAGATACATGCATGACCTGAATGCAGACATTGACTATACTATGCTAGTAACTTGTATCACACAATATCGATACTAGCCTCACTGGCTCTAATATGTTAGTATATAATATAACACAACATCAGATACTAACCTTACTGGCTTACTATACTAGTACCTGGTATCACACAACATCAAATATTAGCCTACTAATAGGGGGTACCGGTATCACACAGCGTCGGTAGGGCCCTCAACTACTGGATGACCTCCTGGTATTACACAATGTCAGAAAGATCATCGAGAAGGAATCTCGGTATCACAGAACATCGGAGATTCCCACTCATCTGAGGCATTGACTTGGTATCACACAACATCAAGCCAAGCTTATCTGATAGTAGAGATACTGGGCTGATACAACTCTATATACATATCTAAGGCCCAAAGGTCACACAATACTGACTATGCTAACCCACTCATTACGAGTGATCGGGCCTTGAGCCCTAGCTAGCTCATGAAGTGCCTCATGCACTAACACTTCTCTACTAGGGTAACTAAGTTAATCTAGGTATACCCTAACACAACTGGACTCACTAAGGTGAGATTACTCTCTCTAGATGTTATCTCGATTGTTCTTTAACCAGAAAATTATATTAGGGTTAATTATTCTACTACTGATGATTGTTATTATGTGGCTCTAAACTAGTTGTTTGATACTTAGGGGTGTACCGCTCATTCTCTGTTTTTAGTGAGTCTTTATGTATTTTGGGGTTCTACAATGATCATTAAACTCACTGCTCATCGCCTGCAGCACCAACTAACCCAAAACATGACTAATGTTCATCACTGAATGGCATTACTCTTGTCATCCTTATCGAACTTCCTTTCAAAACTCCCTTGAACTGAAAAAGATGATTTACCCCTCTTGGGTTCATAGACATTCTCGAAACTTATGCCTTTTTCTACCACTGAATCTGATACAAACATTGTATCGCTTATCGGACATCTCCTGTAACAATCCTCGATCCTAACTATTCGTATTCGTTCTAAAATGTTAACCATTCGACGTATTGCGCTTAATATCATCTCCTGTAAAGATGATTTTAGTGTAGGCACTCGTTTTTGACCGGGCTTAAAAAATATTATAAATATTAATTATATTATTATTATTATTATTAATAAAAATTACATTATTTATGTAGGCCTAAAGTTCAAGCCCACTACAACAAAAGAATTCCCGAAGCCCAATTCAAGCCCAATAAAAATTCAACAGCCCAAAAATAAAACAGTTTAAGGATAAGAGGTGTTTCTTTCCATGTGTATGAGCAGCAACCAATCACGCCAATATCTTAAGCCATCGCCACTATTGGAGCTAATCTGCACAAAGTCAACAATGCACCGAATCAAGGAAAAAATAATTAGCCACCGAAAATTACATCAAAGTCAATACTTGCTTAACCAAATATCACCAAACGCAGAGAAAATCAACATGCAGACAAAGTATTCGGTGAAGAAAATATTGATTAAAAAAAAGGAGGAACACGAGATAAATGGGGAGGTCATTCGAAGGAAAAGGACAGACAGAAAATAGGGGGACATTCGGTGAGAACCAGAGGCAAGCAAGAACAGGGGGCTCTCAGTCAGCAAAGAGGAGGAGAGGGTTCGAAGAAAAAATCATCAACAATAGGGGAATCTTCTTTTACTAAAATTCAAAACAGAAAAATGATGTAAAGAGGAAGGTTCTGCTCCTAATATTCGAATTAAGCAGTGTAAACCAAGGGTATTCCTCCTTTCTTTTTTATCAACAAAAAGCAGTAGCAAATTCTTTAGGAATTGAGTTTCATTTTTAATTTCCAGTGTGTGTGGTCTGTGTGTGGGTGTTTTCGAAATAAACAAGAGGGATTTAGGGTCAATTTACCTGGGGTCTTTTAGTAGTCACCGGAGTCAAGAAAGTTCGGGATAGTGGGGGTCGATTGTAACACCCCAATTTAGGGGCTAAAATTAAGAAATTATAAAGTGGTGGATTTAATTGGTATTTTGAAAGAAACAGTGGAT